TTGAATCAGATCATTGTTACAGAACTCAACCAATGGAAAAAATATGGTTATAAGGCAACTAAAAAGACATGAAACTATGAAACGACCACCAGATGGACAGACAAATCTATTGTAACGAAGTATTAAACTCTGGTACAGCAAATGGACAAGGAAAGATGTTAAACTTGTAGATCTACAATGACTTGTAAAGAAAGATAAAGCGCTTGGTTTATGCATCAAATATAAATATAAACTTCCAAAATAATATGGACATGAACTGAATAGTCTGAAATTATTTCGCCATACGTGTAGCAAAACAACATGCACTCAGAAAATCATCTTAAAAAGCCACTGCAAACACAGAATTTTAAAAAAATTAACTGTATATTTGCTATATCAATTGACAGTTTATCCTTGTTCCAAATACTTGACGTTTATACTAAATTATAGACCACGCATAAAGCATACAGTATAAGCATGAACGAAATTAAATACTGTATAAGCAAGAGTCTTTAATTCATTCAATTCGAATATTTCAACTTTATGTATTATTCAAAATTTTATTTCAATACTTAATTGATTCTATATTGTCGTTGCAATTTAATAATTGTGTTTAAGCCAACAGGGCTAAACTAGTCTACGAATTTATATTGTCTACCTTCGATAAAGTATATAGACTAATATGGATGAAGCCCATTTTCGTCGTCTATCGATTAAGTAAATATCAAACAGTATTATGCCGGATTGAACAGCGAATTATAGCAATAAAAATTCATTATTTATAAACAGACAGTAATACATGACAAGTAACGTTATTATAAAGTAATATTACAGTAACTTACCTTATTTCTGTAGTCTTGTGTTACTTTTAACAGCAAAAAAATACAATGTTCATCTTGTTCATCAATAGCTTTTATTTGTTTACCTTCGAGGCATGACATTTTGTTAGCGCTGATTGGTTAAAAGAAACTAATCAGAACGCAGGTGACCAATCACAATTTAGAACTTGTTGCGTAGCAACAAAGAAGTGCATTTCACAATGGCGAACAATATATTTGATGGCCGCGAACTGGCAGTTGAAAGCCTTCGAATATCTCCGTTAAAACTCTGAATCAAAGGTGCCAACAACCAAAATATTAAAGATTGTGTCTATTGGAAATTATCTAGCATTGTTGGCTGCTTGTAACAGAAAATGCCATCACCGATAACAATTTCGCAAGTTGGCCGGCCGTCTATTTACCATTTCTATCTATTTTAACATTCTACTGAAAATATACATACATACGGGTCATAACGATAAATATAATTAAATCTGTTGAAATACATCTTCAAAGTGAAACAAACCAGATAATTAGTTTAATGATTTCCCTTTTTCTTTCTTGTAATAGATTAATTTTAATTTTATCTCTAAGATAAAGTTCGCGTGTTCGTGTATCTTAAATCAATCTATTTTGTGTAATTTCATCGTAGTTGTAGCCTTCCAGTTTAGGACATTGAGAATTATTATCAAAATTTACACGCGACATTGTTCCATTGAGCAAGTCTGACCATTGAACCAAAGACCCTCCTCCGCACGCACAGTTAGTAGCAATTCTTTTTATTCTGAATGAAGGATATTGATCCCACAGATTGACCTGGAATAAACTGCCATCAAATGTTTGTCCTTGCATTCCTCGAGTTCGTCCAAGCATTAAAGAACCGCGACGATTCCTAAGGTTCTTTTTGTTCCCAAAATCCCAAGCCAAACCAGGCAAGCTATTTGTAAGTAGCACCTTGCTATCTTGGTAGACCTCAAGTAGGTATTTTTGGTTAAGAGAAATACAGATATGGTGAAACTTGCCGTCAGATACATCACAGTTGGTAAGGGTTCTACAAATAAAATAAATTTCACATATAGGATTGAGATTCCTTCTATATATCAAAGGGTTCAGATTCAAATTTTTGGACAATATGATTTTGCTACTTTTTAATTGGAAATGGTTCGCAGTCCTCTTGATCTGTAAAATTAGATCTTCGTCACCTTTAATCTGGTATTAACACACGAACGTCCAAATTAATTATCACTTATTTACTGAGAGCGAGGTGTTTTGTGGACCCGAGACCGCCGTTAACAATGGCGGTCGAGCGGCGACAAAACACACTGCTTTCCCTAGGTCTCAGTAAGTAAGTGTTTTGTTATTTTGTTAAAAGTGTTAAATTATGAATAAATCACCGGTTATTGGAGTGAATTTTGAAACCAAAACTTGATAAATGGAACGCCGTAAATGTTTAATAAAAAAGTTTATTAAAAAGGAACTTTGGAACTTCAAGGTTGACGCGCATGTGCACTGTATACCCATTGACCCGTCAATAAATGTTTCATTGTGGACCGGTTGCCCCCTCGCCATGCAGTGCACATGACGTTTTGTGGACCGGCACGTGTTACGGTTTTGACCAGTCGGCAAACATAAAAATTGAACTTTGACACTAACTATATAACAACAACATTTATTACATGAAAAAAACCCCGATCCGTCTGCAAAATACAGCATATGTTGGTTGGTTCCTGAACGGTCAGTAGTCTGCAGGACGGACCTCTCACTTGTAAAGATGGAGACGCTTGCGAAGAAATACTTATTTAACTCTTTTCCCAGAGAAAAAGACTATAAATAATTATGTTACTTAATTGGTACCAGTTTTTTATATAATGAAATAACTTCTACTATTCCTGTATTCTACTCTAGCTTGTGCCCGCAAAACGTTATTGATATGACGCAGCTATAAAGACGCATTTTATAATGCTAAAAATGCTGACAGAGTGATTCTTACTTCTAGTGCCGACAATTGAACCCCTTCTTCGGCGAACTAAGCTGAAACTGGACTAAATACTGCACTTGTTTTCGACTGTTTTTACTGTACGAACTTGTTTCGGTCTGGAGAGTAGGATATTACTCATATCAGTCTCGTCTTTTTCTGTTTGTTCATGGTCCATACACAAACGTTAAAGCAACTCCGACTAAAATATCCAGCAGTCCAGACATCTCCCTCAGTCAACAATGGATAATATTATACCTCAACTTCAATTTGTCCAACAGTTTGCGGGACGTGAGCATTTTTAATTTTGAAACAAATTTTGAAGAATGTTGTCACTAATATTCCAAACGATATGTGATTCGAAAGAAAAGCGATGATACTTGCGTTAAGTCATAAATAAGACAGATGCTTTTAATTTTCGGTATACCATCAGTAATGATATTTCCCTCGGGGACAAGTTTCTCGAGAAAAATGATCATTTAGGGTAATATTTCGCCGAAATATCCTCGCTCCAGGTCTAAAAATGATATAGTCTAGGACCTGTATATGAGTTTGTATGCGTTTCTTTTAGGACTGGTAATCTCAACTGTTTTAGGGTAAAATGACCATGGCGGTCAACATGGCATATGTGCCAAAACCTGAATCCGGGACGACAGTCCTGAAAATGACCCCGTCCTGAAACGGCAGTGTCGACATAGCTCTAACTTCAGAAAAGGAAAAGCAATAGCCTTTCTGCAGTGCTTATAGTGTTCAGAAGGGTTGGTTTTAGGGGTGTTCATTGGAAGGAAAAATTTGTGTAAGTATAATATTTTACAAGAAAATGACCATGCACCCCCCTCACCCACAGGCAAATTGCTAATTATGCACAACATCATTAATATGCCTGGCGGAAATTATATTTTCTTATTTCCTAAAAAAAATTGTCATGGGGTGAAAAACTATGCTCAATTTAATATAATTATTGTGGATTTCATAAGGATTGTCATTATTTCCATTAAATATCATACATTCTATTTTACTTACCCCCCACTAAAACACGGCTACAGTCATATTTTGCCGTCTTGTTTGCTTTTTATCGCCGAATCTGGCAAATATCATCCAGTTGTTGTACTTTTACATAATCATGAATGGCTGAAGAAGATTTCAAAGAAGGTTTCATCAAGTTTGGAAACAGTGAAGTGTATTTTTCTTCGATATTGTGTCCTTCGATATTTCGTGAAATATGGCGCCATTGCAATGGCGCGCCGTTTCTCTGCCCGATAAATGCCACTTCTTCGTCTTCCTATTCATTTAGATTACAGTATCCAGAAGTAATTCATTGTAGAATACTCCCAATCGAAAAATTGAAAACATTACTTGTATTTGAAAGTAGAAAACCTCCCAGTACAGTTGTCTTCTCAGAATTCAAAAGAAGTAATTTAAAAGTCACGCGCAAGTTCGAGAATACTCCTCGTGGGCTACAAGACAGGGGGGTGAATATTTTCACGAAACGTTTTTTCGTCACCACAGAAACCTAACTAAATACACTATATTTATTGAATGTTTATGATTGATGATAAAAATACGCAAATATTTATAGTTTTTATCATCAATCATAAACATTCAATAAATATAGTGTATTTAGTTAGGTTTCCGTGGTGGCGAACAAACGTTTCGTGAAAATATTCACTCCCCCTGTCATGTAGCCCACGAGGATTTTCACGTGACATTTAAATTACTTCTTCTAAATTCTGACAAGACAACTATATTGGGAGGTTTTCTCCATCAAGTACTAGTAATGTTTTCAATTTTTCGATTGGGACTATTCTACAATGAATTACTTCTGGATACTGTAATCTAAATGCATAGGAAGACGAAGAAGTGGCATTTATCGGGCAGAGAAGCGTCGCGCCATTGCAATGGCGCCATATTTCACGAAATATCGAAGAACACAATATCGAAGATAAAATACACTGCACTGTTTCCAAACTTGATGAAACCTTCTTTGAGTCTTCTTCAGCCATTCATGATTATGTAAAAGTATAACAACTGGATGATATTTGCCAGATTCGGTGATAAAAAGCAAACAAGACGGCAAAATATGACTGAAATCGTGTTTTCGTGGGGGAGGGGGGGGGGGGGGG